GGGGGGCTCGGCGGGTGGGATCCTGCCCCGGTGCTGGGCTTTGCCTGTTCCCTCTGCAGGACTTGCCCCAGTGCAGCAATGGCGCTCAGCCCCACGGTGTGCCGCCCCACAGCCCCCTCTCCCCCCAACCCTCGGAGGGTGCCAGCCGGGAGCAGGAGGAGCGGGTGCAGCAGCTGCAGGGGGGAGGGCCCCCCCCCCCCCCGGCCCCGGCTTCTGCTGAACCTTCACCAGTGGGGAAACTGAGGCACGGTGCCAGGCCCTTGCCGTACGGTTAACGGCGGGTGCCGGTGGTGCCCAGGTCCCTGGGGAGGCTGCAGGAGGTGAACCGGCAGCTGGCGGCTGCGCTGCAGGAGTGCAAGAGTGATGCGGAGCGGCTCAGCATGGTGCTGGGCCAGCACGAGTCCTGCAGCACCGCCCTGCGCCTGGCCCTGCGCTGCAGGTGGGGATGGGGACGGGGATGGGGACGGGGGGGACAACCTGCTGTGCCATGCTGAGCCCCTCTCCCTGCAGTGAGCGCTGTGGGGGGGCCTACGCCGCCCTCCTCGACCTGATGCGGGCAAAGCTGGGCAGGGAGGAGGATAGTGCCCATGGCGGTGAGTGCCAGCTCGGGGGGCTGTGGGGTGTGTGTGGGGGTACTGGGGAGTTTATGGGGAGGATGCTGGGGGGATGCTGGGGAGTTATCAGGGAGGATGCTGGGGGGATGCACAGGGACGCTGGGGGATATCGGGGATGCAGAGGGGATGTAGGAGGGATGCAGCGGGATGCAGAAGGGATACTGGAGCGTATTAGGAGGATGTTGGGGCGATGCAGGGAGGATGCGGGGGGATATTGAGAGGATACAGGGAAGGTGCTGGGAGGATGAGGGGCAGATGCTTATGGATATCGGGGGATATAGGAAGGATGCTGGGGAACCCCAGTCCCCAGCACAGCCCCTGTGGGCACATCTGGAGAAGGGCACCCGCCTGAATGCTGCCTCCTCGTGCCTAGGAGCCAGAGGGGAGCAGAGCCCGGGACACAGATGGGGGTCCAGCCCCACGCCGACGGAGGGGCCGCAGTTCCCAGGCCGAGCAGAGCCAGATGGCCAGGAGAGCGGAGAGAGCGGCTCCCCCAGGCTGCAGAGGTACTAGGGGAGAAGGGAGGGGGTGTGATGCCAGGCCAGGGCTGAGCTGTCCCTGGGGTGACACCGTGCCCCTGTGCCCACCTCCACCGCCTCCCTGTCCCCACAGCATCCCTGCACCCCACGGGATGGAGGAGGGGGCCCTGCGTGAGCACATCCGTCAGCTGCGTGCAGAGCAGGCGGCCGTGGAAGCGTCCCTGCACGATGCCCCGGGACCCACCAGCACCCACCGCAGCGAGGACGTCCGAGCCCGGGCTGAGCAGGTGCTGCGGGAAGCCAGGGCTCTCCTGCCTGGCTGGAGGCGACCGGAGAAAGCGGAGCTGTTGCAGGATTTGGCGATGCTCAAGGTGAGATGGGGAGGGGATGGGGGAGTGGATGGCTGGGTCCCTCCCTGGCTCTCCGCCGGGTCCAGGCTTTCAGCAGAGCAGCTGGGAGAAGGGCAGGGGGTGATGCACAGCGGGAGGGAGTGGAGCCGGGGGGGTTGTGGCCGTGCCTCAGTTTCCCCCACCTGGCGACAATGCCGCTGCCCTGCCAGGAGGCCATGGCTGACCTGAAGACTCAGCTACAGCTGGCGGAGAGGGAGAAGCGGGGCCTGGAGGTGCTGGTGGCCGGGCAGGGGCCGCGGGAGGCTGCGCTGCGCCTGGTGCTCCAGCACCTGGAGCAAGAGCGGGACAGGGGGCCCGGCCACCCCCCCAGCCTCCCCAGCAGCTCCAGCAGCAGCGAGGAGGTAAGGATCGCTCTGACCTCCCCACGGGGACCCTCCGTGGGGCTGGGGGTCTCCCCGGGGATAGGACCCACACTCAGCCTCTACAGGATGCCCAAACCGGCCGGGTGGGAGCAGCGGCTCCTCAGCACCCTCCGGACCCAGAGAGGATGGGGGAAGAACTGCTCCGCACCCTGGCCCGGTAAGAGACCTCACCGGCATGCTGTGGCCCTGCCACGGGGAACCGTGCCGGCACTGGGCAGCGAGCCAGGCTGGCTGCCATATGGGTGTCCCCAGGGTGGAGGAGCTGTGCACCCGAGCACAGGCACTGGTGCTGTCCCTGGAGCAGAGCAGCGCCGTCAGCCGCGCACAGCAGGCGCAGTGCGTCACCGCCACCGCAGACTTCTTCCACGCTCACAGGTGGGCAGGAGGCACCCGCTTCTCCGCTGGGCAGGCGTTGGGTGCCTTCCCGCATGACCTGGTTGCACATCTGCCCCTGCTTGCCCCAGATGCACGGTCCCTTCCTGCACACCCCAAAACTACTGTCCCTTCTTGCACACCCCCAATGTGTGGTCCCTATCCGCACACCCCAAAATTGCAGTCCCTTCTTGCACACCCCCAGTGCATGGTCCCTTCTTGCACATCCCAAAACCGTGGTCACATCTTGCACGCCCCTGATGCGCGGTCCCTTCTTGCACACCCCAAACCCACACTCCCTCCCGGCCCTGGTGCACACTCCCTCCTGCCCGCACGGTCCCCTCGGTCCCCTCGGTCCCTTCGGTGCCGTGCCCTGGGCCGGGATGCTGACCGTGGTGCCCGCAGCGCGCTGGCCCTGGCGTACCGCGGTGCCCGTCGGAAGCAGGCAGCCCAGCTGCGGCGGCTGGAGGTGCAGGCAGGAGCCCTGCGCAGGCAGCACGCCCGGCGGGTGCAGGCACTGACCCGCAGGCTGCAGACCCTGGAGCAGGGGATGGCCGGCAGCGAGACCTGCATCTAGGGACCCCCCATCACCCCCAAGACCCCCACCCATGCCGGGAGGCACCTGCTGTATCCCCAGGGAGAATAAACCACTGATGCTCGTGGCTCGGCCAGCCGCACTGTGGTTTGGGTCTGGGGGGCTTTGGGCTTGGGGAAGGGGGGGTCAGGCAGCCGGACCCCCAGCTCGGCTCATCCCAGCGGGGCCGGGAACAAAGGCCGTCCCCTCCCCGCAGCCCCCGCTATCTCCTGGCGCAGATGAAGCCATTTCGTTATCCCTGACATGGGATCAAAGGTGACGGCGATGGCCGTGGCGGCTGGGGCCCATGCATATTCAGGAGGGAAGAGGAGCAGTGACCCTGCGCTGGGGGCATCCTCGTTGTGCGGGGGGGTGGGGGGGCCCGGCAGCGAGGCGGTGCCAGGGGGCTGCTGTGGGGAGCTGGGGGCTAAATCCGGCAGCCTGAACCCCAGCACGATGAGGCATTTTGATAGTGGGAGCTGGGCTGAGTGTGGGTCTCCGGTGGGAGGATGCACAGGGCTGTGGGGCAGCCCAGGGCTCAGGCACGCTGCAGGGTGGAAGGGAAACTGAGGCACGGAGCTATATATAGGCTAAAACGAGGCCTGCATCTCCCTGGAGAGATCCTGCAGCAGAGTTCAAGGCTCAGTGGATCAATATCCAGAGCCGTGGTGATGGAGAGGGCAGAGAGAGGGCTGCAGGGCAGGGCTGCGGAGATGCAGGGATGCGGGGATGCAGGGATGCGGGGATGCAGGGATGCGGGGATGCAGGGATGCAGCTCACCCCCCCTCAAGCTGCCTGTGCCCTCCACCCCCACCACCTCACCGCCACCCAGGAGCCCTCCAAAATGGGGGCAGCCCCATGTCCCCGGAGGCGGCGGGGCTGGATCGAAGGACAACTTCCCCAGGCCCTGGGGAGCAGCCCCGGCACAAAACAGGAGCGGCGGTGCCGTGGAACCCAGCCTCGATCGGTGTGGCAGGTCCTGCCGCACGCCCGGCACAGAGGGGCAATTCCCCGCACCCACATACCGGAGCGGGGGGGGGGCTGCCTGTGCTGCCTGCTGCCAGCCCCTGTCCCTGCCTCCACCCCCTGTGCCAGGCTCCGGTGGGGACCACGGCTTGGCTCGGTCCGGCACGGCTCGTGGGGGGGTCTCGGGGGCCGGTGGCAGTGGCGTGGAGGGGTTGACCCGCAGGTTGAAGGTCAGGGCTCTGCACTCAGACCCCTTTTCAGATTCAAATAGGTTCCTGGGGGCTTTGTGCAGGGTCAGGCTCCACCGAGAGCCGCGTGAAAGGGCCGGGGCGGCTTCAACCCTGGGTGCCGGCAAGAGGGGGAGGGCAGGTGGGACCCACCGCTGCCCCCACCCCAGCTGGAGGGGTCCCCCCCCATTGCATCCTGCTGACCCCGGGGCCAGACCGGGTCCCCCCCAAGGGGCACCGACAGGGACGGGGTGCCCGAGGCTGCGGCATCCCCATCGTGCCCGGTGGCTGCGGGGGCTCGGGGCAGGCTGAGGTGGCCTCGGCTCCCCGTTGCCCACCACTGCGCCGGACCCAGCCACGCCGCCCGCCTTGGCACACGGAGAGCCTCTGGCGAGGACAGAGCGTGCCGTGAGCTCGGGGAGTGGAGCCGGGGGCCCCTGGTACCATGCTACCTGCCAGGCTGCCGGCACAGCACAGCACGACATGGCATGGCGTGGCACGGCGTGGCACGGCATGGCACGGCGCAGCGTGGCATGGTATAGCACAGCAGCTGGGGGTAGCAGGACCCCCCTGTTTTGCCCGCTGCTCACCCCCACGTGCACCCAGAAACCCACAGCTCCCCAGGGAGGGCTCCACGTGCCAGTTCACGATTTGCAAGATGCCGCCGTTCTGGCCCGCTCCCTGCCTCAGTTTCCCCTCTGCAGAGCAGCGTGGGCTGCCGGGAAGCAGAGGGGCCACAGCAAAACCCCCTGGCCCCCTCAGGTAGCAGGGCCCACTGTGGGACTGTACCCCATTCCCTGGAGAGTGGGTCCCGGGGCGGCTGCGAAACACCGTCCTGGTGGGGTCCAGGCTGTGCCGGGGGGGCACGGGGGTGAAGGCAGCGGGGAGAAGCCGGGAGCAATGGGAGCGGGGAGGGTGGTGGTGCGATGGGAGCAGGGTGTGTGATTCATGACCCGTTCCCCCCCCCCCGGGAGGGTGCGTCTGGCCGTGGCTGGGTGGGGGCCAGGGGTGTGGGATCTGATATCCCGGGAATGCAGGGCAGGGAGCGGCCCTCTCTGGCGGGGTGGAGGGGGGGGGGCAAAAGGGGGGCTGGGGGGGCTGGGATCGGG